TCAACGAGGATCAGAGCTTCCAGACAGCGTGTGTTCCCCTCCAGATCAAAGATGTGCACAATATGGACAAGCACGCTTTTGGGCAGCTAATTAGTTCCAACGGTACCACGACTTTCGAACAAGATAACGTGCTTCTCAGTGTACCATTCTTCTATGCGCAAGCACCGGCATGGGTTTTTTGGCTTGTCTGTTGAACCCCTTCATTGTACAGGTAAAGCCCTAAAGCGTATCGAACTTGTCCTGAGAAGCTGCACTCACTCAGCATCAAATCCTCGAGATTCATTGATTGCCGGTAACCATGCGAACTTCTGGATCAAACAGCGTCATAAATTTGTCCTCCTGGAGGATTTTTGCGGTGCAGCAACCGAAAACACATCTTTAGGGTTCCAGTTGCCAAAGCATAGATATCCTCTCCGTCAGCACACAGTAGACTGTGCTGGAACACTGCATTCAACACTGAATACACACAAACTAAATATTGATCACTTAGCTCAAAGGCGGTTTCAGGTTTAGAAGGGCCGTTCGAGTAGCCGCCCAGCTGACCGGAGTTAGACTTATCCCACGGGACATACAAAACATAGAGTCCACAAGAATCAACCATAGGAACTGATGAAAACAGTGGGCGAATAAGAGAATTTTCCGCACTTATCGTATCTTCCATGGAGATATGCCCCGATGCATAATCGGAAATAGCTAATCGCATACTTCCCTGAAGATTCTCGTACATCATTCATTCACTGTTTCAATGAATTAAATGGAGAAGGGCGTTCCCAAAACTGGCAGACCCTCAACCCTCCGTCGCGATGTTTTTTATACATGACTGCCAACCTGCACGTTCAGCGTTGCCGCTCATTATGGACATACGGATCAAGAGGAACTTTTAATGTTTTATACTGCGCTAACACCGAGATGAGGCGAAAAACTTCAACGATAATCGACACCACTGATAATCAGCGTGTTCGAACACTCAAACGGGGACCATCTGATATCGCCTAGCTAAGGATGCACTTCCGAAGTGGTTACCTGCTTGACATAAATATATGAGATCTAGTTCCGATGCACAACCCTTCTGTGTTTGTAGACGTCTAGCAATTTATGTCGGTTGGAGGGCCAAAGGGCGTATGCAGCAGCAAATTGAAACCGGACGAGTAAAGCATACGACAGGCTCGACTGCAGTTCACAAGTTACTGGATTGATCCAGTTGAGCCGTTCAGCCTGATTTATCGCGTGCCACAAAAACATTTCGAGGTCTTTGGGCAAAGCACTCTCGCAACAGCAGATAGAAATATTTAAAATTGGACCACGACTGCTAAATGACTGTCACCGAATACGCTGTGTAAAAGCGTCGCCCAACAAGAAAGTGAAACATCGCTGACGTGTTGATATAGATTCACAGACAAAAGTAGGAACTACGAATTGCTGAGTTAAACCATAACGAGAGTTGCTAAGATATTGATGTACGTGGATTCAATACATAACTGCTGAGGAATTCTTAAAAGAATACCAGGGCATTTAAAAGGCGGTGGGAAAACTTAGTATCCTACTCCAAACCATTGCAAAGATTGCGATCGACATTATGAGTTCGTTTAACAAAAGCGCCCTCACAAAAAAGAAATACGCAGGTTACAACGTGCTCCTACAGTGAGTGGTCTGAAACTCTTCTCTGTAGTGAGATTACTATAACAAAGTCAATTAAATGGTTTCAGAGATTATTTGGGATAACGGTTCTCAATTTCGAAGCGATGATTTTCTTCACTTATTGGGTGACAACAGCACAAGATATTCTAACATAGTAGCGCATATTCCGGCTGCTAGCATTATGGTCTTAAGGGGAGTCCACGCAAGCAATCCAAACAGCGTGTCGGGCGTGGGTGGGGGGTTAACTGATTTGAGCCTCGAAAACTTACCGAAGTACATCGTACTGTGCAATGACCGAAAACGCCATCGAAATTACCGCTTGAAAGACGAATTCGAGTGCGACTCCTTGCAGCCTTCCTACCCAGAGAAGCAGACACTAAGCAAAATACAGACACATCGAGTACGCTCGTTCGTGTACAAATTCTTCGTGTACGGAAAGAGAAAACCATCTTAAGTCACTTATAGCACCTAAAGCTCTGTATCCACCAGGGAAGTACGTTTTAGGAGACGGGAGGAAAGTGAACGCTAGGCGACTGTTTGCTGTATCCCAGAGTAACACAGCAAGACTACCGCCGCAATCACCTGCTTTGACTTCTTCTGTACGCAGTCCTGAAGCTATACAATCTGTTCGACCTCGCCCACCTGTCCAGCGCTACGGCCTAACTCTCAAACCACTTATGACACCACGATTGTCGTTAAACGGCTATTCTTTATAGACATAATAAATTACTCATAGGGTTACTGAAAACAGTTCGACAGCCCACGACCGGTTTCGCCCTTCGTGGGGCTCAACAAGTAAACGAGGTCCCCGAGTTTCTATCAACCTATTTGAACCCAAATTGTATGTTGCATACCAGTTTGGTTTTCAAGGAGAATCACCTGAGTCCTAGCTGAATCTCTCGTTAATGACATTCTTGTTCAACAGTCCTATGAGTAGTGTGTTACATTAATACAGTGTATTGCGATATTTCGAATACCGTACCAACTGAAACATCAGGCGGCCTGGTGCAACACATTCAGTTGAAGAAAACAAACGAGAGGCACAGCTGGGTTCCAGATGAGTCTCCCGTGAAAACCAAATTTGCAGGTAGATGAGTAAATCGAACATTCAAAAAGAGGGGAGGTGATGTTGTTCCAGATGATCTCCCGTGAAAACCAAATTTGCAGGTAGATGAGTAAATCGAACATTCAAAAAGAGGGGAGGTGATGTTGTATCGTCATTTTGACCAATTCATGCTTATTCCTCTCTACACTTCCCGTTTTGCACATCACTGCTACTCAAACAGTGCATGCTTAGGTGGTTGTAGTCACAGATTCACGCAAAATGCTGATTGACTCTGCTCAGCCCGGACAGATACCGATGTCTCTTGTGTTCCTAATTTCCAACTTCACTATGATCCGCCAATAAGTGATCTGCTCACGCTCACATCACTCTCGTGTGGACAGTCATCCTCCTGTCCCAACGCAATTATTCCGATGAGTTCATACCAAAAAGGGAGGTATCAATCCAACCTATCGCATGTCTCATAAATTCATTTTCTCTGCTTTTTGCTAGTGCACAGTCTAGCCTTTGAACTCTTCCATGTAGTCCAAGTTCACGCCTTTGATCCAATTCGAAGTGTTCCGAACTTGACGGCCTCTTCACCCGCAGTCAAGACAGCATCGTTTGTATATCCAGCTCCGAGCCATGTGCCAATCTCTCAGTAGTTTCTACTTCGTATTTAATGTGATGAGAGTTAGCGATCGAATAAAATGTCGAGAAATGACTTGAGTTCGAGTAACTATCAAAATGCTGTTTCTTCTTGGCACTTCAACTTCAACTTCACCGATGAGAACCACGTATTTATGGATAGCCTATAAGGCATTTTCACCGCTTTTTGGTGAAGACTTCACATTATTAGTTCTGGAAGAATAGCTTAAAGCTTGAGAAGGACCGAGAGACCCGAATTTCCAAAAAAGACAAATCGGCAGTAATCTCTCGACATAGAATGCTACTTGCAAGGTTGCTGAGAATCCCTAGTAAACGAAGGGCTCAGCCAAGATCCAGATGAGTCCCCCGTCAATACGGATATTTACAAGCGAATGTATTCCGCCCCACCAGAGACATTCTTTTTGTGGCTTCAAGTATGTCAAAGAAACTAAGGGTTTGTCAATGTACACTCAATTTTCCTCGAAAGGATGCAACCATTTACATGCACTTTGACTTCCGACTGAAACACTGCACATTCCAAAAAAGTAGAAAAACCGAAAACTGAACAAAGGAGAAAATGGAAATTGCCAGGGCAAATATGTCTGGATAGGCAGCCGGTGGAGTGACGAAGGTCTCCGCGAGGATCAAACAAGCAAAACCACCAAGTTGGCAGGCCAGAGCAATATCAGAATACAAAAGTTTTGAAGATTTTGCCATACCTGGGGTTTTCCGTATGATGACAACATGACCGATTACAGTGTAGATAACAGTGGTACACAAACATGCCAAACCGAGACCATCCTTCAAGAAAAGTGGCCACATACTTAGGACTGATGCCACGGAGAAGTGAAATGACGATATTGGACAAAGTGGCAGCAGACACAAAGCCGGGACGGCTACAAGCAATATGGACTTCTCATGAACGTGGTAGGAAAAAAGAAAGAAATTCATTGAACAAATTGCTAACGAGAAGAGCAGTTTGTCTTTCCGAGGAGATATCACTAGAGCCAGACATGTGGGAAGGCACGTGAAAGCGACCACCATAGCACAAAGACGAACCTGTTCCAGATGAGTGAACACAGTTTTCCATTTGATGAAAGGGGAAGTGCAACACCAAAAATTGGAAACTTTGTCTTCGAACAAACCCCTAGCAATGGGAAAAATGCGACGTATCACTTGGCGAAGTACCACCATGTTGGACAGAAAGGGTAAGAACATCACAATGAAGGTTACGGAGACTGTCATGGAGAGGTACAAGAGTTTGAAAAACCCAGAAGTGAATGAGCTTCTAAAGCATTTACCTAGTAAATAGAAAAACAATGGAAGGGCATGGTACAGTTCCATTTGCTTGTAGCCTAAAGCCAAACAGAACATAATAGTCCCAAGAATATCACGATCGGATAGGATTAGACCGACAGCCGCCACAAATAGTCCCAGGCTCACACAATTGTATTGAAAATGTCCATGATCAACGAGAATCAATCCAGGATAAAGAAACACAAGGCAGCATGAATAGAAAGGTGAAACACTGGGTTGGGACAGTATTCGCGGTAAGCATTTATGAAAGAAGCACAACACGGACGGTACAAAGATAAATAGATCAGCCAGTAAGACAGTGTATCGCATAAAAACTTTATGATCATATGTCTCCATCCCTCGACTCGTGAACAGGCTAGTCCATGCAGGGTTGAGGTGCTCGGAGATCTTTCCCATTGCCCAACTGTGGTAAGCGGACAGAGGAGGATAGTCAAGACCCCAATAGTTCAGATCATTATCAGTTGTATTGAAGTACCACTCACGCACAGGCAAATTGGTGGTGACTTCCATCCAGTGCCGTTGAGCCTCGTAGTCACCGTACATGGGTGGTTTGGCTTGACCAGAATGCGGATGAAGTAAGACACTAGAACGGATGGCGAAACCGATGAAAACCGGTAAGAGCCACTTGACCATTTCCTCATTGCTCTTCATGGTCAATTCGCCAACAAAAGCTGAAATGAAATTGGCAGCCGGGTCAGTTTTTATTATTATCATAACTATACTTCAGTCGCACCCATCCAAACACACTGGAAATGTGTTCACACGGAGGCTTGGCGTCTTAAGAAGACTCAAAAGATTCTAACACCAACTAATATCCACGATCGGAAACTAATTTAATCCAAAGTGGAGAAATATCCTGGTCATAGTTTCCTATGACTATGAACATGCTGACAAACTCATGCCCAAGATTTTATACGGTGCCTTCTTTACCCGAAAATAACTAGTCTAGTTAACCGAGATCTTATATTCGCCATCGATTTACCGGCAATGTTATTTCATTGAACCACACTTTCCGGCGGATTAATGAAGAGACACAATAACATGGGTTATGTAATATAAAACGATGCACTCGGTTTCTGACACTGTAGGGTTATACAATTGAGGCAGTACATGTTTACAAAGGCTACCCAGCCTTCCATATTCAAAATACCGAAGCCAATGCACGAGGCGACTACATCGATCGATTCAAATGGAACCACTAGGTTTGCGTTTACTCCCTACCAGTCTTCCAGTGACAACCTACATTTTCCAGGTGGTAAGTATACACTGAATTATGCACCAGTTTTTCAGTTTATTGGCTGCGTTCGTATGGGGTCCGACCTAAGAACAACAATGTTTGCATACTCAATGACTACAAACAAACGCCACAGGCGCGTTTCGATCAAGCCGCCATCAGACAGTGTCAAACACTGTCCGATGACCGAATCCATAACGAAACGAAAGAGATGGGCAACCAAGGTTGCACATCTCTTTCGTTTCTTTATACTACTAGATGCAGAGGATTCTAGCGACAGTCTACTGTGGATCCTGCTCGGCCAACATGAACAACATGTTTAGTGGTACACCAATAGGTAGGACACTACCAGAACGCCCAGCGACCACTGAAATAGAAGGCAGTGTTTATGTCAAGTAAGATTACCAATGTTGACCAACAAACGCAGAATATTGTTCTGGTGCATATTAGAGGTCAAACACCGTGTACGCACCATCACCCAAGGTCGAACTCAGTTCGATTGTTACAGAAACGCCTCCCCATCCAGGATAATGCCAAGGAACACTTTCTGTGCTGCGACTGTATTCGCGTACGCTTTTGGGAGTTTAGAATTATTGTATAAGTAACTCATCCTAGGGGTATCACACTTCGCTCCATATAACATGAAGGGGTTCTGTTAAACATATTACCAGATCTGTTTTGCTGTCCTCAGGGGAGAGACGATGAGCTGTCTGGATATCGTATCCCTTGGCACACCATCCCATCGTTTGTTCGACAGCCTACGCGTGCATATTGTTGGACCCCATGCAGTGTTTTCAGGATTTGCATTACAAATCCGCTGAACTGCACATTTAGGAAAGCCCATAATTTCTTTTAATGGAGTCTTATTGCTCAAGGTTTTCGTCACCTCGGACAACCATCAACAGCACCGAAAGACCAGAAAACACGTGAAAATTGGTACCAACACTGAATTAAGCAAAATTTTGTGCGCCACATTGACTACCGAAGTTTTTATTCGCATGGGCGACTTGCGTTGAGGATGAGGAAACTACATGTATGTGCTCCTGTTTTGACCATTGATCAGTTCTACCCACACGAAGATGGTTGTTGGCTGTCAATATGGTTGACGCATGCAGGCTGAGAATGAATGGTCACGGAATCTACACTGGGAGGCTGTGCGTATCATGATGAGCTGTTGAGCAATTGGACTTGATCGAAGAGTACAATGTGGCTTTATAAAAGTCTGAAATAGCTCATACGGCAGTGAAGCATCAGTGTTGAACACTGATGTCATGCTGTGGATGATGATGATGAAATAGCTCAGTGGTTAAGGCACCAGCTTACGGACCGGAAGGTTTGAATCGAATCTCAGCATCCTAACTGCTCCTGTCTAGGCTTGGGCAAACTCGCATTATGCCAGCCCTCGTGCTTCCTTCGGGTAGCATAGCAGTTACGCACCGAAAGGGTGCTACAGCTGAACGATTTTTTTGGTCTCGGGTCTAAGCGTTCTATTCCTTCTGAAACAAACGAAAGAAAATCACTGAAAACTGTCCGCAGATAGGATCGGATCTTTACTTTGGCGTTGCTGAGCGCCTTCATGGAATTTCTATCCTGTTCGATATATTAACTTCACGAATAGACGGGACTTTACCGTGTTGTGACGGTCTGTGTCTCTGCAACCCAATGAGCTATACTAAGTGCTTGTACGATACTCGAAAAGTCTCTCATACCAGGCTGGTCAATGGTCAGAGGTATGACCAACAGCCCGCTGGCCCTCCAGGGTGGGGGTTGGGACAAGTGTACTTTGGTCGAAGACCCTAATCATCCTCCTGTTTAGATCTGGGAACCCTGGCAATGTCATCATCATTCTCAGCTGTAATAACCGCGTACTTGTCGTACAGTGGTTGTAGCTGCCACAGTTTCGTCCACCGATGATTTGGGGAGGTGCGGTAGGTAGCTGTGCATAGGCGGGAGCTGACATAATTGATGCACAAGTATGGGGTTATCAGTGAGGTTTTAAGCGGGGAGATTGGGGAGGGAGCTATACGTTGGTGATACCTCGGATACATGAACGCAACTGAGGGCACGACCAGGCCAAACCATTGGTGTGTTCCGTCTTTGAAGACAGGGATAACCGTCGACATGCCCCATTCTGCAGGCCCTTGCTCTTCGTCCCACATAATACCAATAGGCTTTATCAAGTGGGTCACCAGGGAATTTCCGCCTTCTTTGAAGAGGGCTGGATACAGACCGTCCGGTCCTGGTGCCTTCTCACGTTCCAGTACGGCTACTTCATACCTTATTTCTTCCGAAGGGCGATCAAGGTTTACATTCCATTCGCCCGTATGAACTATCTCCACCGGCTGTGTTGCAAGAGGCCAGCTGAACTGCTCTTCGAAGTGTTTAACCCATCTTTCCACTCGACGTTTTTGCGAGTGAATTAATGAATCATCTTTTTCACTTATCGTTTCGCTGACCATTGCTTTCCTAGGGCAAATCGATCGTATCAGTTGATATCGGGCACAGCTGTTTCCGGTAGCAAAAGCCTTCTCCATCTCCCGAACTTTCGATGTCCACCAGAGCTCTCGGTCTTTCCTTAGACTCTTCACTATATGGCATTTGAGGGATTTGCGTGCGCTGTCGAACTCGTTGCCTGTTGGTATAGCTTTCACGGCATCAATCATCGATAACGATCTCGCGATATCCAGTGGTCTTGTGGTCGAATCGGAGAAGTCGGACAGACAACGCCGCTAACATAGCTCTTCTCACATTTTCCCACGTTTCATCCACATGCGCACTGCCACCACAGCATTAATGTACTGTGGAGAGTTGTTGGGCTAGCACAAATCGATACTGTCGTGCTATGGTAGTTCTTAGAAGACAGTGGAGTGGCATGCTTCTTGCCGACTTTAGAGGGCCTGAAGGGAAACGAACTGTCAAGCGTGCACGCACCATGGAGTGATCGGAATCAACTAGTGTGCCCCAGAAGGAACGGCGGTCTTGAATTGTGGCTCTCTACCAGTGGCTGATGGCCACGTGGTCCAACTAGGTCTACGGTTGATTTGTAGTTGGTGGCCTCCAGGTTGCGCAGTCCGAACGTTTACGTTGAAATTTCGTACTTACCAGAAACAGTTCACGATCAGCGCACAACTGAAGGAGTCAATCTCCGTTGCATGTGTGGCGAGCATCGACTTCGAATCGACCGCCCAAATGTGATTCGAAGGTGCTGAGACGGTCTACGTTAGAATTCATATCGCCTGCAAGGATCACGATGTCAGTGCTTTTTGCTTGACGAATGAGCCCGGATAGTTCTCGATAGAAAGTATTCTTCGCCTCAGAACTGCAGTCCGTTGGGGCATAAGCCGACACTACAAACAGGCACCGCTTTTTATGCCGAGGCATTGAGGTTGATTGAACTAGATAACTAGATAACTGAAATCCAATCCAGCAGGGGCGAGACCGCTCAAGTGGTTAGAGCGCGAATTACTGACCGGAAGGTCTGTGCTTCGAACCCGACCTCTGCCTCCCGACTTCTGTCTAGGCTTTGGGCAACCTACAGTATCCCAACCCTCGTGCTCCTTTTGGGTGGCACCAAAAGTGTGTTACAGCTGAATGATTATTATCATCTAATCCGGGCATTTAACCACTTCTAAGAACTTTGGTGAACTTGTTCCTACTGGTCTTTGGTTGATCCATTCTGCCGAATAATGTAGATAGCCTCACACAGGATATGCGAATGTTTTGACAAGCCAGCTATAATCCGACAGAAATGGCTTGCTGTGCTCACACTCGGTAATGGCCACGGAATATTGGAGTTTGTCACATACGGGTACGTTGTATCTTCCTGACCATCATCATCATCATCATCATCATCATCATCATCATCGTCATCATCATCATCATCATCATCATCATCATCATCACCATCAT